TAGGTATAAAATAAACATATTCTGAAGTTTCAAACGAATTGGACAAAGTATTGCGGAGATATTGAAATGTTGAAATCACGGTTTTTTTATCGCTCATAATCGTGGAGCGGTCGGGAAAATTGTCGGATAATTGTCGGAAATAAAACTTGTAACGTCACTGTTGGCGAGCTCAAGAAATGCGGGAAATTTGAAACTGTTTTGATTTCAAGTTCACAGTGAACTTCAGAGGAAAACCACTCAAAATCAAAAGTTAGCACTTTCAAGTCCCCCCAGGACCAGAAACGTAAAAGAATATGGCTTGAAAAAAATGAAAAAAGAATACTTCATGCCCTCGAAGCATTTGCGCGTTTGTGTAAAATACTTTACCGAAGACAGCTTGGAACAAAATCTTGTAGTAAGGAGTTTCTTGGGACCCTTTTTAATTTCAAGCTTCGTCAACTTGTAGTCAAGAAAGACGCGCTACCTACGATTTTTAGCTTCATTATGGAACGTTGCAAGCGGGCAATTGAACAAAAAACAACGAAAAACAAGTGAATAATGCCCGCCGAATAGCGGACGAACTCCTCGGCCATTTCCCAAGTAAAATAAGGTTTTCATTTAGATCCAAAACCTTCCCCACGAAAGACTCACAGACGCAGAAACGCGCAATGTTTAAGACAACACTGACGTCACAAAGCAGAGTCTCAGTTCCATTCCTCCCATTAAAGTGCGCGGTCATTTTGGATATGTTTTGGTGAAGTCATCGGCTGTCTTTGTACTTTTAACTTTTTTACTCCTTTTCACGGCTCAGAAAGAAAAATTTCCGCATAAGTTTCCTTTTACATTTCGTCGCTACAAAATGGCTGAAGAAAAGATGTCTAAATTTTGGTTCATTTGACCTTTAAGCAAACAACGTCCGTGCAGCTTTAAACAAACAACGTCCACCAGCTTTACTATAGGAAAGAATTTAAACAAACGAGAGGTTTCTAAAGAGTATACGTAAATAATGACGAATCAGTGGCTAAAAAGTTACAAATATTAAAAAAATGGAGCAAAAAATTAATCATTATGACATAGTGCGCGCTGTTCCTATCTAATATTATATTTCTATTGGGCCATCATGGTAATGGCAATACTCTACATTTATGCACGGCCGTGCGTAAATAACATGACGTGTGCAGTCTCATTTTAGCTGCAAATTTTCTGTCGAGTTTGGTTGCAAGTCCTTTTTGGTAAAGTTTCGGCAATGTGAACATCATTCTGAACTATAGGCGATTTACATGATGGCGTCATTTTACTACAGCTACCAGAATCCTCCACTTTTTCTGTTTGTAGTGCTATTTAGGGCAATTGTTATTTAAACCCCACTGGGAATTCAAAATTAAAATAAAAAATGAAAACAAAAAAACAAAAAAAAACGATAGGAATTCTGGTAGTTGTAGTCAAATAACGACAACGTGCAAATCTGCTATTCAGTCAAACCCTACTTCGAGCCTTTGAATTTTGCAAAGGTAAGATGTTTACTAAAATTTGAGTACTTTGACCTTGTTTTTCTACATCTTCATTGAATATTTTTGACTTCTTTTGCCTACGCAAGGAAATTTTTCATTGACAAGTTTAGAAACAAGATGAAGCGTTTTCGTTCAACTGTCGCTCAACTGATTGTGCCTTGTTTTTAACCAGGCAATAAGATTCTTTGTTTTCCTTTCCTTCGCAGTGCATTGTGAGAACTTTGTACTCAAATACGCATAAAACATGTTTTAGCGCCCAAGTTGTTCTCGCTATAAAAGAATTGGTTCATGCTTTTACGCACCCTAAGCATGAACCAATTCTTTATTTCCACAAGTAGCTCATGCTTCAGAGAAAATATTTTAGTATGTTTAGAAAATCTGCATACTTTGTTGCCGTCAATCCTCATGACTGGTGTCCAGCCTCCATGTCCACATCCAAAATCTCCCAAGTGACAGAGATCGGAGGTTGGTTTCGAGTTTAAATCAAGTGTAACCAGCAAACTCGTGTTCGACCTGTCGGGCATATTTTAAAAATATGTAGGATTACAAACAAAACTAAACCTTGCAGAAAACAGAATACAGACTTGTACAGGCATAGTGCCTTACTTGTAAACTTCATAGAATTCATGGCAGGACCTCAGTGCGGCTGAAAAAGACAAAAAAAGAAAACCAACTCAAATGACAGCAATTGTATTTCATATTAAAAACATCATTGCCCTTCTGGGCTGTAACTCAATCCCCAAAACGGACTCAAAAATAGTCACAAACGATGAATAGAGCTAAAATAGTTTGGTCAAATGAATCAAAATTTAAACTGTCGCTTTACAATGCCGGTTTTAGCACATTGAAAAGTAAAAAAAACAAAACAAAACAAAACAAAACAAAACTCTTCATTAGCCCTTCTTCAACACGACACGTTAAAACTACCTTTCTCGCAATGTTTTCCTGTAACTCCTTCGTCACAAATGCATTTAAAGGTGTCATCCTTGAAGTTTGTCACACAGGATCCTTTGTTTTGACAAGGAGAGGAAAAGCAAGGCGACTGAAATGAGATTTAAAATAATATGAAAATGAAATAATAATAGTAATTAATAATAATAATAATAATAATAGTAATAATAATGATAATGATAATAATATAACTCTTCCAGTAGTTTCACTTTTCTTAATAATATACTTAATTCTTCTTGGGATCAGAAATTAAGAAAAAAACAGTATCTACATTGCTATAAGGCTCTAGGAGTCTTTAAAATCTCACTAATCAGTTAAATTTTGGGCTATTTCCTTGCTAACAGTAAAACAAATCAATCACATTACCAGCTATCAGTGAATTTTGTGGATCTCAGATCTCACGTCTAAGCTGATGGTTCAACTTTTAACCAGTTAATACTTTCTCAGCTATCAGTTAAATCCCTTCAGATCTTCTGTTATATCTCATATTTCACATTAACAAGGCCAAGAACTTTTCTGACCTTAATTGAAGAGTGATGCGAACTCTCATTTATTTTGTACTCCTTGAAGGTTCTGTATTTATCGGAAGACAGCAACTCGCACCAAAGTTCACCGTTAGCTCCTTTGGAGGCGGCCATGTTATCAGAAAGGCACGAAGGATTGCTGAGGCATTCAAAGGTGCAGTCAAAGATGCCGTACACGGTGAAAGTTCCAACTCTTGGCACATTCAGATAACGACATTTGTCTTCCACAAAAATATGTTGTCGAACAGTCTGCAGAGGAGAGGAGGAGGTACCTTGAAGCAAAACGTTTGAACCTGTGATGAAATCAAACGAAAGTAAAAAAAAATTCAAAGGTTTTGTTTAAGACAACAGCTATGCCTCAAGCGAACTGTTGATAAACTCCAGAATTTTTTTTTTTAATAAACTGTAAGGTTCGCCATCCAATTAATCTTTCGTGCTCGTTGAATGATAAGTGTATAAAGGCGGAGTTCCGGCGGACCGAAGGGCCTACAAAAGGAGCACCATAATTGCAGGAAGAGAACCACAGGCCTGTATGGAAATAGAAAACTACCGAGTCTTTTCAATTGCGTTTGACTCTAGACAACCTCCTCCTTGTGTTAACAACGCAGTATATTTGTTAAAAGCTCCTATCAATTTATTTCATATTTGTGATCTCCTCAGGAATCTGGGGAAAGATATGATATTGTTTTTTTTGTTTGTTTGTTTTGTTTTGTTTTGTTTTTTTGTTTTTTTTATTTTTTTGTTTTTTTTTTTCATCTGAATCGTAGTTGTGAGAACCCAATTCAGACCTCGGTTTTTTTAGGTCTTCCACAACTGGAAAGGCGGATTAGGGCCGCCTTCCGTAAATTGAGGAAGATCTTCGGTGAAGATATAAAACTTTGAAGGCATTATTAAAGCAC